AAAATTAGTGGTCTCATACCAAATTTCAACAAAATCTGTGTTACTGTTTAGCCTATGGTGTCCATAGGAAAGTCCATTTATGTCCTTAGGAAAACTGGGCTCCACAACGAACCAACATGCCTGAACATCAGAACTCCCAGATAATGTACGGTGGAAGAATCCAATACCAAATTTCAACAAAAAACAGTTTCTGGAATAGCTGCATGGCCTCTAAATATGACCTCCTTCATTGTTCTGTAAAGAACGCCTAAACGTGTAACTTTTTTGTTTCCGACCGCGGACCTAATATGAAAGATTCAAAGACATAATGATAATGAAATTTCCTCCGTTCGGTTGGGTTACTTCACGGTGCTGTCAGCAGCTAGGCCATATAGCGTCGAATGGCAGGATGAATGATGTATTGCAGTGTGTGCTAGCCATTTGCATGGTGGGACCGAGGGAAACCATGAAAACCCTGTTAGGATAGCCAGGATCCAACAAAGCATCTTCAGAATTTATCCCGGCATTTGCCTAAGGAGGTCAGGAACACCACTAAAGCCTTTGTGAGGATACCCGGCCTCCTGACCGAGAAGACAACCGGGGGTTTCCCGAACACGAAGCAGAACTGCCAACAACTCAGCCGTGATGCTGGCACCTGAGACACACAATAGGAGTAGCGGAACGCACTAGGAGAGCAGTCTTGCTGTGAATATTGCTACCGGACTACACTAAGCATTACAGAAGACAGTATACTCTTCAGTCACCGCTGTGACCTGAACAGAACCAAAATCCTTATGGATGAATCCAATTTTGCTGTCCACATCGCGTCACGCGATAATCTACAGCCCCCACACGTATCGAATTCGCTTTCGCCATCCTGGAACGACGCCTCGGAACAGTGCCCGGCTCATCGGCTCAGAAAATTGTGAATGAGAATGTCGACATCCCCCACAGCAGAGGGAAGTCACCCTCAAGAATATCACTTTGTCCCAATTAACCTAACCCTTTATAGCCCAGTGGTTACTGTATGTACCACCTGCTTCAACACGCTGAACTCTGCATTTTGCCCAGTGTGTATCTGTGTGATCCTCACAATAAGAAGTGACTGCTTCCCCAAACATTAACCGGTTGGTCCTTGTAGCAGAGATTTGATTTGTTTCCTGTGAGGTACGAACTGAATTCTTATATATTTAGAAGAAATTCTGTCTTTAAAGGGTTAATACAAGATCACATTAACAGAATAAATGGCGCTGCAGTAGCGACAGCAGAAGGAACTAAAGCAGTACCCTGGGATGATTCCGCGAGATAATTTGTCTCACTTCCGCGACTTCATGACTGTACTGTGAGGAAACAAGCCGCGTCCGTATAGTTCAATCGGACCGCGGACCTGCCACTGGTTACTGCGAACACTTTCTCCTTTAACTCCTTATGGCACCGTGGTAACTATACTGTCACGTATAGGAGTCACTATAGACGGGGTTTGGGTTAGTGAATTGATTTATTGGCCACTTACACGACGCGGAACTACAAGAAATGACATCTCCACCGTTAATCTCCACGATTAAAATCACCACAGCATCCGTTAAAGACTTTTCCAGTTGTTCCCTGGCATCGGCTTCTAACAGTGCAGTTTCTTCAGCTTCACGCGCTCGGGTTCTTTCTTCACAGACTCCCATGAAGAACTGACTTTGTTGCCCCAAATGTCTTCAAGATAACTCCTCGGGACAGAACACGCAGAAGCACACCATTTCCGACAGCATGTCTATCGTTGCGAGACGATTCGTTGCTACGGGAACGTGTTCACCGAGCCCTTGCCTAGAAATTGTTTGGAAAATTTGCCTATATCGTGGTCGTCGCATAGTAACGGCTCTACACGCCACAATATGTACCACCCACTCTAAAATACAGACACTCTACAACATATTGTGGTTATGTGATTCATGCGTTTCCTGTGAGTAATGAACTGAACTTTTAATTATTTACATAACCTTCAGTCTTCAAAGGTTTAAATACAGGCTCCTAAAACCAGTCATCTCGAAGGAGAACCAGAATTATCAACACTGCTAAGACCGCTTGTCTCGGCAATCCTAGACTAATGCTCAACCCATCACAACCTCCTGGATCTAAGCATCTTAACAGTAGCAGATGCCCTGTGTAACCCATAAACTATACTTAAAATGGCCAGCCTGCTGATGGTGTTGCTAAAGCCGTAATTCCATAATTATGACTGGTATTTAGTGTTCATGTTGCATTTCAATCACTGTCAAAACCTACAAGTAGTTCAGCAGGTTAGTATAGTTTTATAGTACTATTTCACTTTTAATTTGTGTGCTGTGTTTTGTTTGAACATGTTTATGTGTGTTATTTGTCTGTTGCCTTATTGTAGTGTTTGTTATTTGTCTTTTGTCTTATTGCAGTACCACTGCCATGGTGAAAACCCATTTGCAGTTAAATAATAATAATAATAATAATAATAATAATAATAATGTTCATAAAAACACTGCAGATTGCAAGACCATGGACTTAAGGAAAACAGAGTTACAGGAACCATGGATACTACCAGTACTCATCAAGGCCGAAGTTCCCTGTTCCTTCAGTGAACACACACACACAAAGTAAAAACGTTACATAAAACAGTAATATAAAAAACATCAGAAAAATCTGAGTAGTAGTAAACCGGCTCTGTACAGTTTACAGCATTGCCTCTGGCTAATGTCAATCTTTCAGTGTAAGCTCACATATCCTTCTGTGTGTACAGTAATTAAAACTGAAAACCAATGAATACACAAAACTAGATACAAATGGGAAACAACACATGAAATCTGGTGTATCCAAACCGTGTCAGTGAGGGACTGACACAGGTGCTAACTGAAATGATCACAGGATTTAGCTAATCCTGATCAGAGAACCTGAGTGTCCAAACCCTAAGTGCCATTTCCATCCTCACACCCAGCCTCCCCAAGATCAACCTTAATTTTATATTTACACCTCCTTGCAAGTGAGTCTTCCAAGAAATTCTCTCACCGCAACTGTGTCTGGGTTCCTTATCACTTGAATCCTAGACACTTGCCCAGGTCATCAGAACCTTCTTGACCTGCCAAGTGACCTGTGTTAAGTTATGTCCTCATGCAATATCATAATTATCAATATGATTCATCCTTCTCAGATTCAAATAAGACAGACGATGTAACAGCAATATTTATCTGAAATAGACGGGGGTGTGCAGATGTTGTCACTCTGTCCATGGGTCAGAATGCAAAGTCCAGCTTCTGTGTTGTGCCAGTATAATGTTACATTTCTCAATTTAGAAACATGTTCTTTCCATCTCTTATATCCATTAACTTAATTATGCATAGCATTAACATCAAATATAAGTCAAGATCTGAATACTATTAAGGGTAAAATCAGTGGCTGTTAAGGAATAAGACAACCTTCAAGAGTAACTAAGAGGCCTTACTGAAGACTTAGGTAATATAATTGCTTACATGTTTTGATTCCATAATACCATCTTCTGAGGCTCAAAAGTAAACTCCAAAAACAAGAATCGGGAATGCAGTTAATTTTAGAAGTGTGTGAGCCTCTGAAGATGGTGCTACGGGACTGAAACATGTTAGATCATCATATTAACTCAGTCTTTATGGTATGCAACCTATTGTGTATAATTCACTAAAGGAATAGCCTACACAACAATAAGGTCAGAAAGCGAATGAGAGAGAACTGCTACACCGCAGGAACTGCATCTATACACAATATTAAAAACCTGAACATCCCAGCAATATATACACACAACATGAGAAACATATGGAGAACAAGCTCCACCTCACGTTTAACAGAAACTTCCACCCGGAAAAAAAAAACCGGCCTAGAAAGCAACAGAAAGATCTCAACACGCAGTTCCCCATGTCACAATATTAATAATATAACATGATAATATCATTACATGTTAAGATACATAGCGGTTACAAAAACTTAGATGTACAATATTGACTATTATTAGCCATATTAACTAGGAATTAAAACTGTAATTTGTTTTTAATTTTACATCTTTTAGTTCATTTACCTGTTCAATATTATGTCAAGTTTTAACTATTTTAAATATCAAAGTGTATTATTAGGATAGTCTTGTACAATGATACAGAGACAATATGAATTCAGATTGAATAAAGGATGGAACTCAGGAATCTGACACCAAGTATTCATGTATGCCTGAGGATGACCCAGTTAAGGGTCAAAACATGTATTGGAGGTATCAACAGCAAAATAAAGCAGACGTTGACAGGATAGTGTTTATCTTGTTTGTTTTCTGAACTTACTGTTATGCAGACTGCTTCAAATCATATTCTTTCAGTGATATCAATTCAAGTTTTTATCAAAGCTTGTTAACTTGATGGCTGCCTTGTTCCTTGACAATACAAAGTGAATCAACATGTCTCATTGTAAGATAAAGTAACTGAACTCATCACCTAAAAGTACAGAGAAGATGTGAGGACCTCATAGTGGAATTAAAGTTACAGACTTCTGGGAGGATGCAATGTAACCTGGTAAATAGCTACCGATTTTTGGGAGGAACCTGCTGCATCCATATTCAGGATAAACTCTTCTATGTCAGATCATGCATGTTCCTTTCCACATACATAACTGTAATGTTTATGAGGCACTGCCTCACAGTGAAATCTGTCACATTTAAGTCCTGCTTGTATAAGCCTGGATGTATCAGTTGGTGACATATTTGGCACAGAGCTCAAACGCAGCACAAGCATTATGTAGCATTTTTCCCAGTTCACCTCATTCTTTTACCCTGAAGATGGACGCAACAGGTTCTTCTGTTTACTCATTCTACCTCAATATGAAGAGAACAGGTTCCTGTGATCTGGTGAAATACACTTACCAACCTACACATTTTCACATACAACATAAATAAAATCCTCATGAAAGGAGAATAATCCTCCTTACTGAACATATACACAATTTTAGTGTGTCTAACGTCAAACCTGTCGAGAAAGGAACGAGAATACACTCACCGTCCTGCTATGCCAGCATTCTGGACCTCCTGCACAAAGATCCCAAGCTCTCCCTTTTCCTCACTCCGCAAGCCGACTACACTAAAACCGAGGCTGCTCCCTTCTGGCTTGAACAACTGAAATGTGACAACCGCACCCACACACCTCAAACTCAGTATTATCCGTTTTGTGGAAATGCAAGCTTCCATAATTTGTAGGAATGCAAATGGATAGAGTTACCTACTTTACAGAGATCTTAATGCTAAGATCAACTGAAACCAACATTTAGTTAAAAGAAAAAATTTCCATATAGTTGTGTCTGACTAATGCTAAGATCAATTGAAACCAACATTTAGATAAAAGAAATAATCTCCATAGTTGTGTCTGACTGATGAATGTGACTTTCCTTTTCTAACACCAGGAAACCCAGATGGCTTTATTATGGGCTACTACTTCGATACTTCCACCACAAACAAAAAAATGAATGTACAAATATCTTGTTTTGTACAACATGAGTCTTTTGGATGCCATCACCACCACTCCCAGAATTAACACTCAAATTGTCCCCCTTCCTCTACTAATCATGTGCAGTCCACACACACTTCAATACCAACACCAGGCTGACTGCTGTGGCCTATGTCAACCAGTGCCCCTTAACTCAATCAAACAGAATGGCTGACTATGTTGCATTGTAGTTGAAATAAAGTCACTTCTTGATGTACGTCTGTTACCAACATCTACTTCCAAAGCATCAGGCAAAAGAGAAAAATGCAATGGAAACAGCAGTGACAATGGTAAATGACAGCCAATGCCCACACACAATACTGCTCTTAAAGCAAGCACTGTTACAAAACACCTGAGTACACACTTGGTGCTCACGCAGTATGGATGGCATGCATACACAAACATGTACTAAGGCCGACATTCTCTCCCTGTATCCTTCTCAAGGTCTCGTGTCGCTCACATTCTCATGCACACCAACATCCCCAAAACACATCTCAGTGATTCACATGCAGACGGACCTACAGTCAAGTCAGGGATCAATAATAATGAAGTATGCAGCTACCACCTCCCAAGTTACGTAAGTAAACATGGTCTTATGACAGAAGGGAAGTGTGCAGTGTAGCACCCTTGAACCCCCATTATCTGTGCACATTCTTCCCCTGGCCCAAGTGCAGTCTCACTGCATTGTGTGAGCTTTAATCAGCAGAATGAGCCATTCATTTTATGGACAGAATGTGCACTATGCAAGTGTGAGTGGGCACATGACAAGCTATATAATTTGGAGCTAACACTCAGCAGTCAAGGGAACCAAGGGCCCTCAAGCATGAGTGTTTCAGGCCAAAGCACCAACAGGCTTTTGATCACGCTGGATTTGAGGTTCTCACAGCAGTGACTAAGAAGAGTAACATCTTCTGGGATTTCCATCTTTCCATCTTCAGTGTCAAAGAGTAAGCCAAGCTAAGAAGTAGCATGAAGCTGGCAACAAGAAGAGTCTGTTCTTGCTTTGGGCCTAGTTCTTCCTGGTTCCTTATTTGGCTTACTCTTTGACCCTTTGGTATGTTCTCAGTTTAACACCTCACATTCCATGGTTAGAAGGGTAAGGGCCATTCCAATGAATCCAAAGATGGCGTTAGTCTCGTCATCATTTTGGCCATCTTAAATCTCATCACCTCCTTGCTAGTAGCAGGGAGTCAACCCTGGAAGGCAGTCTGTCTGCATTCTTTCCCAATTTTTAAATGCTGTTGGTATCCTTGCATCTCTTCAATTACACCTGTAGTAACTTCAAATCCTTCCCATATGTCATGATTCCTTTGGTGATACATTCTAGTGTGATCTGACAATATTTTCAAAAAACCACCTAAACCTAAATTTTTAATAGCCTTTAATGATGCATACTGTCAATGTTATTTAAGGTGATCAGATATAGCTAGACTTACTATTCGTGTGGATGATGCAGACTACTGACAACCTGATGTCAGTTCACCTGAAGGGACAGATATGTTGGGAGACCTGCATGAATGGTGTTCACGACTGAGGAGAAGGCCAGGGGTTGAACTGGAAGGTGTTGGAAAGGAAACCATGGAGGCATGCAGATGGAATATTCACAATTAAAGTAAAAAATTATTCATGTATAGATAAGTTGGAAAGGACATGGAAAGTGACAACCACAACCTCTCTTCAACATGTATAACCCTAATATCTGATCAGAGGAACCAAGTGGGAAAGAAGGAAACAAATTTGGGAGGTCAGGTGGTGTGTGAAGTGTTTGTTTACTTATAGTCGAAGAAATCAGAAACTCGGACCATATGGCATCAAATAGCATAACTGGAACTGGAAAGGAGAAAGTGGTTATGACATTTCCATGGAAGGACTGAGGAAAACCATGATCACAAGCCTCAGTCAGGATAAGGAACTGCGGTGTGAGCATGCCAGTGGGTGACATCCTCCCTGCATTCCTCTCGTTTCACTGGACCTATCCGCATCTTCACTTTCCCGTGCAGCTCACTCTGCTACCCTGCAGACAGGAGGTTCCTTTGGAACACTGGTAACTTTCTGCTATACTCCCAGTAATCTTCACGTAACATTTATTTTATGTCTGAGGCACTCTGAGTGTCTACTACACTACATTTGCCAACTTTAGCATATAGAGGGTGTTGTGTGGTAAGTGCAACGCATCCCCACAGCTGTTAATTTTCGTCAGTCGGTATAGTTCTCTTGCAGACTAAAACCATGGAGTTAGTTTCATCACCATTATTAGTCCTTGGAACCTATATGGCATGAGTCAGCATTCTCTTCTAATATCCATTTCACTAATATATCTTTCATTTTGGTTACACAGTTTATAATGCTATTATCATCTAGACAGGACCTGAAACAGGGTAGTCAGTAAAGTGACTGGATATGGGTTGGATGATTGAGGGGTCAGAGTTTGAGTCCTGGTAGGGTCAAGGATTTTCTCTTCTCCATGTCATCCAGACCAGCTCTGGGGCCCACCATCTCCTATCAGATGGGTACTGGGGGCAAAGCAGAATGGATGTGAAGCTCACCACTCACCTTCAACTAGTGCTGAGGTCAAGAAAACACGGTTCTATACATCCACTACTACATACACCTTCATGGTGTAGTGCTGAATTAGTTAAGCACAGGGACAACTTTGCCTTTTTTTACTTTTATTATGTAGACTATATAGCATTGCCTGGTATGACTGGTACATGGGGAAGGACTTGGAAGGAAGCAGACATGATCCAACTGATACATCATCTCAGCATCTACATCGAGGGACTGTAAAGAACCTGTCTGGATAGCCAGTGTCCTGGCCAAAATTTGAACTGATCACCACCTGAATACAAATCTAGAGCATTACCAATAGACAAAGCTGTTCTGTGATACTGTCTGTATCCATGTTGGAATTAACTTCCTTGTAGTACAACCTGTGCCAAGTTCTAGACACTAAGACAGCAACAACACAGAACTTCAAGCCAAAATTAAGTACATGCCTCATAGCAGAGGGGTATTCGGAAAGTAATAAGACTAACCCACCGAACTGTTTCACTGCAGCAGCACTTGAGAACACATAATTCTAATTCCCCCTGTTGTATTTGAGGCTCTCATCAATGTGGTCCAGTAGTTCTGTGATATTTCAGAGGAACGCACTGCAAGCAACCTAGAAGCAAGAAGAAAACTTGCTGCCTGCTTCTTGCTGGTTACTTGCTTGGCTTAATCCTTGACTCTATAGATGGAGGCAGCATGTTCCTCTGAAACACTGGCAAACTTATACCAGACTACAGGTCATTACAATCCAGAGGGCTACAGTACTCTTAATAATCGCCATGCTCTCACGGACTGGGCAAACTTAATGTTTTAACCAGCTCAGTGTCCTCTCTCTGGCACCTCCTTGGCCTTCACCTTGCTCACTGTGTAGTAGGATTGTGCCTTCATCCCACTCTTAGCCACCTGCCTTCACCCATATTTTTGCATATCTTCCTATACACAGTAACCTCTAGAACTTGTTGTTCCTCACATCTCTCCGTGTCAGGACTTGAAAAGATTTCCTAAATATTTGAATTCACACACCTTTTTCACAGGTGTATTATCTCATACTAGAATACGTATGTAAAAGAACAACTGCAACTGAAAACCAGACCTGAAGTAGATAAACAAATTCCAAAATATCTCATCCTTGGCAGCAAACTCCACCCACTGGAAATGCGTTGTGTTGACAAGAATATGATAAATGTTGTCTACACTATTATCTTATGCAGTCTTGTGTCTTACCAAGTCTGTACCTTTCTATATTTTTTTTCTTCTTTAATAGAAATTTCCATACGAAATTGTTTCACTGATTTAAGTACATGCAAATTTCTTTGTACACCATCTGTTGTTTCTTTTTAGGAACATAAGATAGTTCAAAGAGACCTGTTTTATGTAGGTTATTTAAAGATGCTGTCATGGTCAAAATTATATAGCAAAGAGCAAAGAAATCATGTGATCAACTGCATATATTATATACTCAAATTCTGTTTTCCCATGATTGCTTTTAATTCATGTTTCATTGATTTTCTCTTACTTCTTCGACCCGTACATCATGAATAGGACGAGAAAACGGCACAGGAATATCTATGAGTGTTAACAGCTCAGACATTCACCATCATCATGTAACACACGCTTAGCAATTCCGACAGTCTTCATTATCAGCCAGGATCATTGGAAGATGTGTATTCTGGAATTATGCCAAGTACTTTAGTATATGAGTATCAACATTTCTGGGGAACCTTATGCCTCCAGCTTCAGGGTGAAGACTGAAGCAAGAGATTCCTCTGAAACCATGTACCACACTATATAACGTCACATCCCACAGGAGTGCAGTCATGATATTCACCAGTGTGATAATCTCAAATCTAACAAAGGTGTCAGGACTGATAAATAAACAACACATCACAGTTCAAAATGTTGCAACGAGGAAAGGGAAAATCAATCCTGTCTTGCCCACCAAATCTGGCTTCATGAATCTTCTTCATTTCATGATTAAGAACATTTCATGCGTGACTGATTTTCTGACTAAACAACAATGTGATGGTGTACCATGAAGTCCCTCTGATTGATGTGTTCAGGAAATGAGACCAGTGAACAGTGAGCCATTCTCAGCGTTATCAGCTGTCCTGCCTTACTAGCTCATCTGGTACTTCCTCCTTTCATTCCCATATTGACAATACCTACCCTGCCTTCCATTCCCAACATAGCTGAGTCATCTGCTCCTTCCCATCAGTCCAATTCTTTTGTCCTTTTGAGCAAACAGCCATTCAGCCTTGAGCAAACAGCCATTCAGCATCTTTGTGTGATGTCTCAATGACTAGCAAGATGTACCACTATATTACTGTTTGGTGTGCCACACTGCACCAAAAATTATGTTTCACTTTGCATCATCTTGAGTTCCCATGATTGGAGAGAGAGCCCTTGCTGTGCAGACAGACTGGGGAAGCAACTGTGCAATTCTGCACTGTGCACAAAGAAGTAAAAGTATTTATTTAGTCTGTGGCAAGGTAGGCCTGTTTACTTTCAGAACCAATGTGCCCATATTGAGTCAGTGTTAAGTTCTAGAATATTCAATATCTACACTGTTTTTTTTTTGTAGTTTCACAGGGAAGTGTCTTCATGCAACACAAGGCTCAGTACAACTTTTACTGTCAATGTTATTTACTGGTTGTTGCCCATTAAGCAAATTCTGCTGTTCCTACTGTATATGGTGAAGTTATTTCTACCTGCTCCACCAGGTGGCACCTTCCATTGTAAGCCACACAAACACACAGACTGTGCAACTCATGCTGTTTGCTAACCCTGGGTCAGCTTCAATTTTGGGCATGAAGGCTGTGTAACTCTAAGGGTTAGACAATGCTGGCAAGCTTGGGTCAGTTGTGTCACAGAACCTTAAGGACTCCCTGAGGCATTTTTCTGGCAGCAAACTCTGTCCAAATATGCTCGAGTTTCATAACAAGTCTGATTAACATCAGTAGCGTAACAGCCCTACCTATTATATTTGGTAGCTACTTCAGCACGTGGGCTGTTCCTGTAATTGTGTTATGATTAGTGAAACTGTTTGAGTTGATTTTTAGAGTCTGAGCACTCTTCAAATGCTTTACTTACCATACATCATTCACACTGATTGACAAACACATTATTCTTACTGTGTTAACTTTCTTGTAGAGTATAATCTCTAAATCCTGATGTATGTTGAGATATTACTCTTGTAATATGGGAGAACGTGGATGTACGCATGCTCTCAAGCTTGCAGTTAGCCACCTTATTCATCACGGGAGTCAGTGGAGTCAGAGATGACAAGGGTTTGCATGTCCTTCAGAGAAGTACATACTGAGTGCAAAGAGGGCAGGAACCCACTAGAACAGTGTGAAACAAGAGTTACAGCTATCACCTTCAGTTTCACTCTGAGGGCAGTGGTTGGATACCAACACAAATAAAACTGTTCATGTCTATCCTTTCGCTCTATCCAAGGTTTGTTACCAGCACTTTGTCCAGATTGCTATATCTGGCCATGATCAGCGTGGAACATGCTGTGACAAAACAATGTATTTCTATTTCAGAACACACTTCAAGCATGTAGTACTCTCCTCTGATGCCAGATGGAGCAGATTATTTGCTACTCATTTCTTTACTGAGGGATGCTGAATTCTGCTAGCATACTTCCAAAATGGCTGGGCCAACATGTAAGCCAACAGCAGATTTGCTGGGATGAAAATATTAACAGGAAAATATGTTATGAGGTGGATGGAAAAAGAAGCTGGAATAAGCTAAACAGTCTTATCAATGACGATGAAGCTAGTCACCAGAGAAGCAGTTTTGTTACTTTCCGAATGCCCACATCACATACAGCCACAGCAGTTCAGCCCATTCAATCACACAGCATTCTGTAACAACAAGTGTGACATGTAACAAACAAGCAGTGCGTCCAGGTAATGTTGGCCATTTGCCACTGGAACTGCCTACCTGTACAGTGAGAACTTCACGGCCTCGTGAGGATGCCTTGATTGCTTTCTGGAACTCTATCGCGTAAGTTGGAGTTGTAATAGGGGGCAGAGCCACATCCTCGGGGGCCAAACTGGGACTAGTGATCTGATAAAATGCAATCACACCATCTGCCTGATCACTAACCTAGCAGTCGAAACCACACGTGTAAGGAGAATCATACAGATGCTATATGATTCACCTTATGTGCAAAAGAAAATACTATGCTGGGTTCTAAAGGCCATACACTCATATCACTTCTCCCTTTCTGTCTGACATATTCAGACCCAGCTGGGGATTCAACACACTACCTCTTGAAGTCCAGCCTTTTACCCCATGAGGCAAGTGTAAGCACACCGAAACATTTTTAAAATGTCATAGATTTTCCTCATGTCATCAACTGTTCCATATCAATATGAGTCTATTATAGGCCAAACTTTCGCATGCGAGCAGGGATGAAACACTGCCAAAGGTCTGAATATGCCAATCCTCCTCCTCCTCCTTCAAAATGTTCCCATCTTCATTAGAACTACGATTCTCACAGCAGTGAGAACTGACCATGTGGTATGGCAAAAAGGCACCAAAGCTTTGCAGAACTCTGCTACCAATCTGCTATACCACACACGGTCACATCCCAGAAGACTGTACTCCTTCTTTATTCCCGGTTTTTATTGTATCAAAGTGAACCTGTCATGATGCCCTCCATATATGAGGCATTCCATTGTAGTGCCCAACTGCAGTCCACCAACAGAATACTACTGTCTATCAGACAGTGCATAAATATTGTTTGTGCAAATGTCAACTGCAAGGTAAGGTTAGATTATGCAGAAATTCAAGAGAAGGCAAAAAACCAATGCCCCTCTCACAGTTTGACACTCATTACACTTTGACATCTGTGCACTGGACACTACAGTGACACCACACATATGACCCTTGACAGTGCTTTGAGCTGGTTCAAGAGATAACATGAAAACCAAGAGCCTGTGTTGTGGTCAGAGAACAGTTAACCCTTTTTACCAGCTGTGAGCTGCACTACTGCAATTCTGCATGTCAGTGGTCCAGCTACTCAAGTGCAGAATTCTTTCAATATTAATCCAAGCTTACAACATGATCACCAAACCCAGACTATGATAAACTGTTACCAAGTTAAAACATGGGTGCCAGCCCCATAGCACTGGAAGATTTAAAATCCCCTATTCCCAGACAGTTAAGTGTAACATTTGAATTAAAAATTCAGACAAGGGTTACACCAACTTTGGAAGGAACCAAGACCTCAATCCAGAGAGACACCAGAAAAAAGTTGCACAGCAGTCACAGTTATCAGGAACATTCCATTCACTTCAGTTACAGCAACTATCAAACACTATCTTTCAAAGTATGCATCCCACTGTATTTCTTAACGTACTCTCAAATGGGGCAGTCAACTCAACTATAACAATAATACTCAGTAAGACAAAAGAGACATTATTTTATCAATATCTGTTGTAATAAGAACTCCACAAAAAAGAGATGTTGATATAATAGTATCTATTTTGTCCGAGTATTATTGTTATAGTTGTGTTGACTGCCCCATTTGAAAGTATATGGAACACTAAGCCTCCAGAACCCTGCATAACAGTTGGTACACAACACCACTGAACTACATACATCAGGGATGTCTTCACCACTCTGTACAAAACAGCCTGCTGCATTTGGCTTGGCAATAACATAAGTACATCCCTAACATACAGTCAATGACCTCACCAAACTGGACTTCAATCCATGGTTAACGTACGGTGCCATGTTTGCCTTATCACACCTTTTTTCTTCCTTTCTATCCCCATAACACGTGAACAGCTAGGTTGCTCAAGTTCTGCTAGGTTTTAGCCTTACAGTCTGGTCTCATGATCATCTCAGATGGCAATGAAGACACTTGTTATGTCCACATACAGTGTGACAACCTCAGGACCTGCCACAAATTGCCAAGGCACTCATAGGAGTCACAACCCAGCCAAGCAAAGGAGACCGGGGCCTGCCATGGAAATGACATGCCTACAGCCAAGCAAATCCAGAACTAAACCTATTCAGATCACAGCAAGTGCTGGAAAAGCTCTTTGTTTATGGTGTAAGGACAATGTTCAAGCATAATACCAATTTCATCATTACTGAACAGGGAGGGGTATAAGGGGGAAAAAAAAGAACCAAGTGCTCACCGAAGAGAAACTGGCTGGAACTGGCACTATGCTTGAACATTCTCCTTGAAAATCCCTCAGACACCTTGCATAAGAGACCTGGGTTTCAACTTCGCTCCACTTCCATAATGGAACTGCAACACTTGAATATGAACTTTTTATGGAATGTCAGGAATGTGCAGCAACTGAGCATTTCAAGTAATCTGGTGTGATGTAATTGTTACTGGCATGCCAGTACTGCTGACGGCCCAGGTCTCCAGCCCTGATGGGTGGGAAGGACATCTGACTCTTTCAGTTGCACTGACTGGCATTTTCCTGGGTGCTCTGAGATAAATGCATGGTATACTGGTTCCTGAGACAGCCCTAGAGTAGGATTTACTTCTGTTATTTGGCCTGTCATCAACACACCAAACCCACATCCACCTATAACTGAAAGCATTCTATTTCATAATTACTAGCCCCACCGAAGGCATTACAAATTTGTCATCATAACCGGTCACCATGTTTTAAAGATATCCTGGTTATTAAATCAGTTAAAACTACTAAACTGAAGATACATCAGGACTCAAACAGCACTGCTATTCATAAAGACACAGACTCTGAATATTTTCAGTATTTAATTATAAATATTTTTTAATAATTAAAATTAATTTTTAGTATGAATAAACACAGTACAAATGGTAACCAATTCCAAAGTACTGTTTGGTCATAATAGTTTAAGCAGTATGGAGAATGGGGTGACAAAGACACAGAGGTCATTTTGTCTAAAGCTCTTGACAACACTCGCCATTCTGAAAAAACAACTTATCTCATTGCACTTCTCTTCTTAAACTGTCTGCTCTGTGATTCAGATTCATTATTAACATAATCATTATTTAAGGAAATTTATAAGTACAAAACTAAACAAATATATTAATTCCTTCCCCTAAATGCCAAAAGTTTGCATGGTGAATAGCACAGAACCCCCCACTTCAACATCACTCCTACCAGAAAGTTTGATTAATGGTCTCTCCCCCCAACAGAAAGGACAGCCAGGAAGTACATAAGCAGCCGACACATTAAATATAAAATGATGAGAGAAATTAAAACCAGTCAACCTATTTCATACAGAATGTAAGAAGAGGATTAATGCAGTGTCTGCAACAGTCTTCACAAACAGTACCAGGAAAGATATCTTCATTTTAGCTGTGGTTTATCTGATGATACCTTCAGTAGCTCAGACTATACAGCATCAATCGATGGAGATGACCAAAGGATGTCGAAGGAAGCAGTTGTCGCATTAATTAGAGGTACTACGCCGGCATTCACCTGGAGGGATCCTCAGCCATGATAACTGGTACTCTGGCTACAAGACGAGCCAGGCTCCAGGACAGCTGTTCAAAATGCAACAGGGCAAGAGTGGACCAAGACATAAAATGCATGCTTAAGGTAGGAAAGATACAGCTGTTGCAGAGGACAAATTACTCTTCAGGAAACATCGATGGAGGACGATGTGATGTCACGGGGAATATCCTGTTCTGGATTCTTGTCCTTAAATTTTTGCAGCCAGTGTCCGATATGTAACTTCAGTTCTTGGGATTACCCGTATCATACGCTGATGCTTCAACATAAAATACAGCTGAATCCTGAAAGCTGAAGCTGCACTTTTACTAGAGAATCAACAATATAAATCCCGCAACAAGTTCAGTTCTCACAATGTACTCCTCATTTTACACCACAATATGACATTTAATCCACCTGTAACTCTAATGTCTGGGCCAGTGCAATTTACTAGTTTTCTGATGGGTTGTTAGTCATGCCAGAAAGCCCAAAGCTCTGAGATTAGTAAGCACGCTGATCACAAACGCTCTAGTGCCAACATGCCTGTAACTGAAAAACACTTTCACATGCCACATCAACAATGTTTCAGCCCCCTCAGATCAAGCTGGAAACTTATGAAATTAAGCCAGCCGCTTTTCAACAAAAGCAAGATTCTGTTGCCATACTTTTCAAAACACTTTAACACCAGCACTTGCAACAAGATGAGGCTCTCACAGCAATGAAAACACCACTGTCTCCCAGAATGCCCTGTCATGTAGTTTGGTACCAACCTGCTGCCTCCATCCTCAGGGTACAAGAGTCAAGAATGAAGAGACACCCTTCTACCCTAAAGTTAGAGACAATATGACCCTCCAAAATGTTACTACCTATCTACCGAGCTACACAGCATCACATCCCAGATAATTAATCTTATCGCTATTTCTGTACATACCCAAATCAATCTACTGCCTGCGACATAAGCTACTAGAACACGTACACTGCATCACACCAGAAATTTCTAATCTACAGCAGGTTACATCAGAAGTTTCCAACCATGTCTGGAAGTGACATTCCACACTGGCACAACAATGGTAACAAGTTACCTGTGGTGATGAGGTATCACCAGATGAGCTGTGAGACAACTTTGCCACAGGCACTCTCTGATCATCAAACTCATGATTCTGGTACTCTCGCCCAAATCCTGGATCATACAGATCCACTGGAGGTGGTACATTCAGCACCAGGTCACCACATGGCGTTATATCAAAGTCCACAGGCAAGATGGATGGGTGCTGCTGCAGCTGCTGGTTCAGCTCACTCAGTGAATCCTGCACACACACACAAGTCTCTACAGTCCAACTCACCAGTGACAAAATTCAATACAAGTGATACTAAAGCTCACCACTAGAAAGAATTCTCAGTTATAGCACAACAGGATTTAACACTGTGCAGTCTGGCAGAAGTACACTCACTGCTGATTCTTACTGGCTACTGTTTTCTTTACTCTTCAACCCCGAAGATGGAGGCAATAATCACTGCTCTAAGAACCTCAAATCCAGCGATTCTTATCCGCGCTATCTCAACCTTCTTACGCACAATCAAGTCTAATATTATTCTCCTTTCATCAGTCAATTATAAACTCCTTAATCTGATACTCAGTGGGTTTGATATCACAGCATTTTCTGCTATGCATTACCTAGTTCCTCTATCTCTGGCTGAGTCCTTCGTTTTGCAAATTAAGTTTAGTAATACAAAATGACATGACTGGCAATCCTACGCTTTGTGCAGTAATAAACAAATGTACACCACTTGCACGGTGCTTACCTGGACCGAGACGATACCACGCAGGATAGGATTTTCTAGAACCGAGATGAGTAGGTTCAGGTCATCATTAGTCTGAGCCTGGAGCTTTGCATCATCGCTGACATCTATAGTGTGCTGTATGTGTTCCAGCAACTGGAGAGCGGTAGATATGTCTGCATTCAGAGGCATGGCTAGTGAGGTGCTTCAAGGAACTGCTGTAACAGAGCACAGCAAGCTTCAGCAGTGGCCCTTACTTGTACTAACAAAATACATTACACAATGGTTACAGAAGACAATTCCTCTGGTGGAACCACTAAGCAACGTAGTGGAGTTGCATCATATGCATATTTAACTTCCTCAGATTAAACCACATATTCGTGTCACAAAAAATGGGGGGATGGGCATAAGTAAAAGTAAAATAGTAAAGCTATCCCTGTAAGAGGCTGTGAAGGCCCATAGGGTTGTGAGACGTTGAGGGTCCCACATTATCTAGACAATCGGCTCACAGATGGCGGTCAGGTTGTCAGCCGTACGCGCCGGCCACCCCTTACTCCCCAAGAAAATTATTTAATTAATTCCTTGTACTCATTTCTGTTAGAGGCTGAGTCGACCCCAGGGCCAAGTGCAGCTGGAAGGATTAGGTCAACTGAAAAAAAATCCAATGACCTCATTGGGACTTGAACCCGCGACCTTCCGGCTTGTAGTATAGAAAAATTTAAATAGAGCAGGTGATCCTGAGCATCATGCCGCTGAGTGAGCATAAGCCCACAGCATATGCCCTGACTATGGACTCTGCCTCAGTTGCCCCCAAACACAAACCAACTACTTCACCTGGTGCTCCAAGTGAATTCTTCTGTCACTCTTGCTCTCTTTATTTTGTATGCAATTAAAAATAAAATTACTGTACATTTTACTTGTATATGTACTTTTTATTATATACATTGTGGGCACATGGTAGTGTAGTAGGTTGAGGCACTATGCTACAAGCCGGAAGGTTGCGGGTTCAATTCCCAATGAGGTCATTGGAGTTCTTTCAATTGACCTAATCCTTCCAGGCACACAACAGCCCTGGAGTCAACTCAGCCTCTAACAGAAGTGAGTACCACACAGCCTGTGCATAAGGCTGACAACTTCACCGCCATCTGCGAGCCGATTTTCTAGAAAACGTGGGAGCCTCAATGTCCAACAATCCTATGGGCCTCTATGGCCTGTTACAGAGACAGCTTTACCTTTTACTATATACTTTGCATATAAACACATATACATTATATGTGTATTACCAGGTATATACAAAAGAATGTACTTTCTGGGAAATTTAAGGGATTTGCAAAGGATAATTCTGACTACAAGCAATTTGGATTTACATGGCATCTTTAGAGCAAAATCCCTGTGTAAGATGCAATTCCACTGCACTGAGGCCATGGAAAGAAGTTGCATGGATTTTGGGGAAGACGGCAGTTGACGCTTAACTCTTTTTGCCCACTGTTACACTCCCTTACAGGCCCACCTGACTTACATCAAACAGCCAAAAGCACTTTATGCTAGCATGGGCTATGATACAGTATCAATATATTTAAGCATGCCGGAAATGTCACAATTTAAAGATGTGCAGCCTCAGGATAGTCCTTTAATTGTAATTGTAAAAACTTATATTTTCATGTGACTATCACCTAAAAAAATACGGGACATATCCTATGCACAATGGGATCACATTTGACCTCCAAAATGAGAACCCATAATCTTTAGCACCTAACTATGCACAAACTCCCTTTATATCTTTACTTATATACTACACTTTCACTTTCCATAAGAGAGATCTCAGCTTCCAGTGAAACCCCAATCATGTAAAATTCATGATATTAAGAGCCACAATTGATTTTCTTGAAAATATCTTGCCCTTAAAACTAAGTCTAGGTCTGCCTTACAGGAGCGATTTACACTAAATTTCCAAGATTAATACATGAAGCAGAACCATTTTGGCAAAATTTAGAAGAGCCAACAATAAAAATCCTGGAGCTTATAAAGGACAACACTAAAGGCTGGATGAGAGACGAATCTGGGTTTGAGTCCTAGGACAGGCAAGGAATTTTTTTCCACTGCATCCAGACTGGCTATGGTGTCCAACCCTGCCTCCAGTAGGATAAGTAACAGAGGCAAAACAGCAGGGGCATGAAGCTGACCACTCACCCCCATCTGCTGCCAAGGTTAAGAATGGTAAAGCTATACCTCCAATCCCCCATAGAGCCTCATGGCTTGGAGCTTAGCTAAGCAAAGGTACAACCTTAACTTCAAATTCATGTAACTTTAAAGAGACCTACTGTCTTCTAGAATACAACAGAATACAATGTAGTGCATACACCGCGTCAGAGCAATTACACTTCTACCCTAAAGCTGGAGGCAACATGTTCTTCCCAAACGTTGGTACCTATCTAACAAATCTGTGTGTGTCACATTCCATATGATAGTAATCTTCGGCCCCCATCGCAGAGCGTCCCATCTCATACATCAAGCGTTCGGAGAAATATATCTAACTGGTGAACAATCCATATGAAATCTCAGGCAAATTCAAGTGCCTTGCGAAACGATAAATGTGCGGTACACATGTATGTGAAACCAAGGCACCTTAAAAAGTGACACAAAACAAACCATTACGTAATTCTGGTCTAGTGACAGGTTACCAACGGCGATAGACTTACTGCAACACAGCGCACAGCTGACTCAACTCACCATGTAAATACGCGATGCTAGGCCACAACATCACTATAGTCTACAAATGAACACAACTTTACATAAACATTTTCATACACTGATTAACAAATCCATACAAAATAACAGTTTAACAATTTCTACACAATTCTACGACAACTCCTTTCCGCCATTTCGGTAACCTCTCGTTTACAAATTCTCCACGTTCCTGGGAGTTTGGCTTGGCGCTGTCAGTCTCTCTCGTATTCTTCTGCTGGCGCGTTTTATTTAACGATAACCTGTCTCTTCATACGTAGAAAAATAATTATATATATTTTATATGTTATTAAAACAACATTATACCATTACTATATTTTACAATAAATTCAAGTCCTACCATTTTGTCCACCCTTTTGACGCTTCCGACTCTTCAAATTAATGTTCGCTAGTTCTTTCTCGTGACCAACTGCTGAAATAGGTTCCTACTGTACTTAATAAACATCAAAGGATGACCGACGTTCAAGGGTATATGCAAATTAAATTTACAGTTAAAACAAAATCACTCACTTAAAAATGCAGCAGTGCAACATTTACTACAGATTCATAAATTTCAATATAAAAACTGATATACGTTGGTGACAATGAAATACGTTTGTAGTGATCCGTGTTCGTCAGTTGTTACCTTGATGGTTGCGTTGTGTGGCTGTGGTAAGTGATGGGGAACTTGTGTTATGGCTCTATATTTGTAATTATTATGACGGTTTGTGATCACGTTAGCGGTGACCGCGCTGAATATCATGTTGAGTGTAGCACACTTAGAATGGGCCAGTATCTCTGCCCAGATCCCGACCCCTCATACAACTTTATAGACCCAAAAACTCAACAACCTTATGGTTGTACCAAGGAAAATAAAGCAAAAGGTAACGAACTATTTGCAATTAATTGCCATATTTTTCATATTTATTGAAACATGCCTTAAGTCTGCTGAATTTTTTAGTGCAGTGCAGAGCAGCTGACGGTATTAACTGTACAGAAACGAAAAATTCCACCTTCAAACGGGAGATCCCTTGTAAATGGACGTAAGTAGGATGTATATTTTGTTTAGTGCTGGAAATTTAATTGTAGTTTACTAACAAAATGATGAATAATGTTGAGTACGTTTTTACTGTATGGTGATCCCTTATATGAGGGATGTTACGATAGCTATGTAACTGATGGGTGAATGTGCAGAATATAATTTAGGTTTCCCTGAGCAATACTAACCATAACTAATGAGAAAGAACTGTGCATGATCGTAGAGCATCCTGGACATTTGAGTGATGAGAGACGAAACATTATTCTGAACATTAACCAGCTGATGTTAGATCCAGTATTTTGAAGAAAACCCCAATTAAGAGGCCTGTGACACATGGTCATCATATTGTAAAGTTGTTACAGAAAGTGAATATTCAGTGTTCTTTATGTCATGACAGAAATGGTTATTCATTTGAGACGGCAATGCTGCTCTCCATCTTCCTGGGTATGTTCGGAGCAGACCGCTTCTACCTCGGGTACCCTGCAATTGGCTTGCTCAAGTTCTGTACATTGGGCTTCATGTTCTTGGGACAATTAGTGGACATCATTTTGATCGCTACACAGGTTGTGGGACCAGCTGATGGGTCTCACTATGTGATCCCATATTATGGTGCAGGTATAGAAGTGATCAGAAGCAACAACTGGACTTACAAACTTCCACAGCAGGACTGGTAGCCAGTACATTGAGATAACCTTAAAAAATTGACTATATAAAGCAGCACCTCACAGTCCTCATCTTCTGTCAGAACATGATAAGCTTTCTCTACCAAACATTGAGGCTTCAGAGGGATTTTCAAAACTATCATTCTTACTCATGTGGGTACATTTTTAACTTTCTATTGAAGGATTTTGATGAATTTGAGGTTCTCACAGCAGTGACTAAGAAGATGACTCTGTCTTCTAGAATGAAACATGTAGTCCAACAGAAGTCTGCTGATGAACCTCAAATCTCATATCAGTTTTATCTGTCAAAAGGATACCATGAAGACTATGTTATATGGGTCTCTTGGCAGTACTTCAGAAATGCTTTTATGAATGGCTGTTGCTCAATGAGGACAAACTGTAAGCTGCTGTTGGTCTGTTTTGTATTTGTACCTTACTGATATTTTTGTAAATATTGTACAATAAAAGTGTTGTGTGTTATTTATGAATAACCGTGCCTCTGTGAGCATGTCCCACATTTAACCATCTGTGGTTCTCTTCAATAAAGAGAGACAAATGCTTGAGACTTCCATAAAACTGGGAAGATTGCTAATATGCTGTGATATCTGAAACATTTCTGTTGAAGTTCCCTCATGTTCTGACCTCTGCCCCCATCACAAAGGAAGGATGATGGCAGTTTAGTTAGTTAGTTATTGGAGAGGGTGGGTTTCCCCATGCACTTAGACCTGTATTGGTCCATTATGCTTCCCTCTATGATTTCTACCAGTCTCTATATCCTACCGGTACTGGTGCTTACCATCAGTCCCGCCCAGCCAGCGAGACCAGCTCTACTAGCTGAGAGGTATCTGTAATGCTTCCCCCATCTACCAGAGGTATTAGAGACTGCTGTTGGGCAGGAAATGTCCGTAATTTGGCTCAGTGACCTTTGGAGATATGAGGTTCTTTTACGTGCCATAAAGCTACGACACGGGACCCACGGCTTAAAGTCCCTCCCGGAGGACTTGTTCCCTGAATTTTTCCGCCCTTAAAAATTCGACGACCTCCACCGGGTATTTGAACCCGCGTACTACGAGTCATGAGGTGGGAACGTTACCTCTAGACTACGGAGGCCGCTATGATGCCAGTTTACTGACATAACTAAAACAAAACATACCAACACCATAGTGCTGAGTGTTTGTTGAGGAATTGGTATTTATTCAGTTTCTTTAACAAACTCATTAGACAATGCAAAGTTCACAGAATCCTGCCACTGGCACCATTCTCAACCAGTATAAGATTCCTAACAGTTCCAACACAGAATTAACTTGTGTTTTTTGCTGTTTAAATAAATTACCATACTAGTTCAGTTACATAAAATGTTTGTATAATGATGCTGTCAGTACTTCACACTCTGCAATGTCAGATAACAGGAGGATTAATAAATGGTTGATTTGAAAGGAAATTGCATGGCCTAATTTGAGGTACTATTCTGGCAGTTTGCTGTGGTTATGATTATGGTGTATACAAAGTTTAACATAAAAACCTTGAAGTAATCAAAGATGAATAAAATATATCCCATTTTTTTTATATGAAAGTAGACATGTCAGAAATGTTAAACAGGAGGTGGGACACCTAGCATTATGATTTAGTGGGTAGCACTCAAGCTTTGTATTCAGGAGGCCTCAGGCTCAAATTCCAGCCTGGAGATTCGCTATCCTGGCAGAGGCTTTTGTATTTTCCTTAGCCAGGCCATAAACACTTCCTACCATATGCATCCTTTCCAGTTAATCACTAATCATTATTTGACATTATACGAGTAATTTGAACTACTGGAAGCATTGTTATACAAACCATAAATAAATAAGAAAGGCAGGGCAGTAAAATGGTAGGGGATGCAAGTAGCAATATCTCATGGCTTCACCCCACTTCCAGTATCACAGTTCCTCACAGTATTAAACACTGATCGACAAGTCTGTGCATTACATTTTTAAGTGTATAATCCAAGGAGAAAACTTGAAGGAAACTTTTAGAAATGCAAATATTTAAAGTTCTAACAAAATCAGTTTGGCTGTCATAGCCTATACAATTCACCTAATTAGTACGTATATCATATGTGCAGACCTAGCTTGTGAACATTTCATCAGTGCAGATAACAGTCAAGTGATGATATATGTAAAATAGTTTGATGATGGCTAATAAGTTGAGATACAAAATAATAATGAACTGTATATAATTAATTTATATATAACAGTTGTGTTGAGAGAAACTTCCGTATCTGTTGCATCCCAGACTGAAATTAATCATTTCAAGTTTTTCTAACCTGTCAGTCATGCATCATCAGATCTACAGTATTTACCCCATAATCCCTTTCTGTTGTGTTATAGACAGTTCACGCTGTTTCTGATGTAACTATGAGTGTAACATTTGCTTGCTTAATTATTGTAAAAAGTTGCTAATGGCTCTTCGTAAGTACTGAAAAAATATAAAAAATATAGGTTTCAAGAAGCTCTTGTGAAACTGATGACATACTGTTTGGAGATGCACCTGCACCCAGTGTGTGCAGTGCTCTATCAGCACACTGTTACCACAGCAGGATGTGCCATAGTTACAGAGAGAGAAGCATGCCTAATTGTATTACTTTGTTTGACTAAAATACTGCAAATTTAAACCAGCTGCTTTACCCCCAGGCGCCCATTGATTAAGAAGCTGGGTGGGCCTTAGCCGGTTTGGACGATGTGGAGAAGAGAAAATTCTTTATGGTAAATATATACCAGATTATACGGCGTCACTTCCCAGTAGGTCAGACTTTTAATATTTACAACCACAAAAACCTCAAATCTCATGTACAGCGCAATATCAATAATCCGAACTAGGTAATGCCCTGGTGTGTGTCAGACTGCGGGATTTCAAATACAAAATCTAAATTTTTAAGAAAGTGACATTCGCAATGGGGGCAGGCGGTAGTGTAGTTGGTTGAGACACTATACTACAAGCTGAAGGTCGCGGGATCGAATCCCTATGAGATCATTGAATTTTTTCAATTTACCTAATCCTTCCAGCCGCACTATGGCCCTGGAGTCGACTCAGCCTCTGACAGAAATGAGTACCAGGAATATTCTTGGGGGTAAAGGGCGGCCGGTGCGTAGGGCTGACAACCTTACCGCCATCTACGAGCCGACCGTTTAGAAAATGTGGGAACCTCAACATCTCACAACCCTATAGGCCTCCAAGGCCTGTTACAGGGTTACCTTTACTTTTTTTTTTTTACTTATTTGCAATATTTACAGGTGTCCCAGGAGTATAGGTCAATATTCTGGGAGGTCACAGTATCGCTCATTCTAAACAAAAAAGTGTAAATGTACATGTGTCCTATTCCGAACTGTTTCCGAGGTACGGCTATTTCATTGCACAGTAGTTTGGATTTGGCGCCCAATGTTATCCTTCCCTCCCGCATGGAAATCTGTGTGAAGCGTCGGTCGGCCGTTGTGACTGCTGATAGTGACATTGTTGGGAGTGTTGTGAAGATGCGGAATATTCTGATATGCTGTATGCTGTCCTCACACGAGTTGCAAAGTGCACCGATGTTGACAGTGAAAATTTTCGAAAATGTATTACACCAGGCAAACTGTACCAACTTAGTCACTTGAACAGTAAATACCGGTATTATTCGGTATTCAGTATTAGAGGGGGTGAGTTTCCCCATGCACCGCGACTAGTAGTCTATTGTACGTCCCCATTTAATTTCTACTGTCGCCATACCCTACCGGTACTGGTGCTCGCTATCAGCCCCTTTCTGCCAGCGAGGTCGGCCCTCTTCTGGCAGTGGTACCCGATAACTTCCCCATCTACCGGAAGCATTGGAAACTACTTGGGCGGGAAACTTTTTGCTTAATTTTGCTCAGAGGTCTCCTAGAGACAAGAGGATCTTTTACATGCCGTAAATCCACGACACGGGACCCACGGCTTAAAGTCCCTCCCGGAGGACTTGTTCCCTGAATTTTTCCGCCCTTAAAAATTCCACGACCTCCGCCGGGTTTGAACCCGCGTACCTTGAGTCATGAGGTGGGAACGTGACCCCTAGAGGCCACAAATACCGGTATTAGAAACAGTACGTAATATCTCTTTCTTATCAACAATTTCGGAAATGTACAGTGGAATAGCTCTATCTCGGAAACCGTTCGGAATAGGACACATGTACATACTTTTTGCTTAGAATGATCGATACTGTGACATCCCTGAATACTGACCTTTCGACTATACGCCGGGCTCGGGGCAAACGGTAAACGGGTTACATCTTTCACCACCTGATGAGGCATTTCCATTAACACAAGTTTCACAAGAATTCATTTTCACTGCAGGGAAGTAAAGTAATTAAGTCATATCATTTTTGGAGTAAGTTTGGATTGTCTGATATAGTGTAGCACCCTGTTACACTTTTCTCTTAGTATCAATTAGTTCCACAGTCCAAGCATCAGAAACAAGACACGCAACCTAACACAACAGGAAGGAACATAACCCACCACCTCGAACACACATGCGCATTGAGGGGACTATACTATATACAGTAACGACCTAAGCAACGATACAGAAAACAGCAGTTTCCTCATCCATAATTTTTAACACCTAATGACATTGGTCGAAACATGTAGTGTAGTTGGTTAGTTAGTTATTGGAGAGGGTGGGTTTCCCCATGCACTGAGACCTGTATTGGTCCATTGTGCTTCCCTCTATGATTTCTACCAGTCTCTATATCCTACCGGTACTGGTGCTTACCATCAGTCCCGCCCAGCCGACGAGACCGGCTCTACTAGCTGAGAGGTATCTATAATGCTTCCCCCATCTACCAGAGGTATTAGTGACTACTGTTGGGCGGGAAACGTCCGTTAATTTGGCTCGGTGACCTCCTTTGGAGATGTGAAGTTCTTTTACGTGCCGTAAAGCTACGACACGGAACCCACGGCTTAAAGTCCCTCCCGGAGGACTTGTTCCCTGAATTTTTCCACCCTTAAAAATTCGACGACCTCCGCCGGGTATTTGAACCCGCGTACTACGAGTCATGAGGTGGGAACGTTACCTCTAGACTACGGAGGCCGCTAACATGTAGTGTAAGTTTGACAGAACATTAATGTTGCACGTGAGACTGTGTCCAAAATGCACACAACTATAAGCCGCGGAGCTTCAGCATCTGGGCAGTGTGTAATGGGCCCCCAGAAAATACAAACAAGTTTGGTCCCTGTTATGTTGGCTGTGTTATCGTATGAAATGTTAACCCCCCCGAAACAAAATAGCGATTTCGGCTCTAAGGATTCTGATTAAATTTCAGTAATTTAGAGATCATCTCCTAAATGAGAGTGGGTAACGGTACCCGCTTTCTGCGCCAAAACCGCGATGTGCTGATTTTGTCTCAGCCGGCTTTACCTGTCTGACGGATTTCACTGTTGTTCGGTATTCGGTAACGAACAGTGGCTACCGAACAACGGTCGATTTAGTTACCAAGATAATGCAGTCAAGG